TCATACTGCCAAGACATGCTTTTACATAAATAAAAGAAAATATTCTAATTCACAGATGAATGCTATGAATACTATTTTTTCTAGTATACCTCCTCAATCCATGTATAATATACATTTCATTATGCCTACTATGCCTACTTATATGATGAATATGTCTTCACATCCTGTGTCCAATCAAATGACTGATGCTACTTCATATGGACTGCCATCTATGATTGCTTCCACATCTAATCAAGTTCCTCAACAAGTTTGGTTAACTGGTTCCTGAGCAACAAACTATATGACACATGATCTTATAATCTCTCTTTAGCTACTCCTTATCCACAACATGATATTGTCCAAACAGCTAATGGTGAAAGTTTGCCAATCACTCATATTGGGAACACTGTTCATAGAACTCCTTATCAATCCATCAATTTATATTATGTTTTATATATTCTCAAGTTATCTCATAATCTGTTATCAGTACATAAAATTTGTTTGGACAACAACTGCTGGCTAATCTTTGATGCATATTATTTTTGGATTCAGGACAAAGTCACAGGGAGAATCTTGTTTAAAGGCCACTGTATAATGGACTTTACCATATCCCTTTAATTGGTGCTCTTCCTTCTTCATCAATACCAACAACATCTTCAACTATTGCTTGTCTTGGGAAAATTGTTACCTCTACCCTATGGCATACCCGGTTAGGTCATCCTTCAAACTTAATTGTTATCTCTTATACTAAATAAGTCTAGAATACCTGTTGTTAAAGATGTATCCCCTGTAGTAAGTCAGAAATGTCTAGAAGGCAAATTTGCCAAACTTCCCTTTAGTCTAGCTATTAGTAAGTCTTTAATCCCTTTTGAGGTTATTCACAATGATTTGTAGGGACCTACACCATGTATTTCCGTTGATGGCTTTAGATACTATGTCATCTTTGCAGAGGAATGTACCAAATTTTGCTGGATGTTTCCATTGTTTAATAAATCATATCTTTCTTCTGTCTTTGCATCCTTTTACTAATTTTTTCTTACTTACTTCTTAGCTAGAATTAAAATCTTGCAAAGTGATGGAGGGGGAGAATACATAGGCAAACCCTTACAAAAAAATTTCACTGCAAATGGCATTTTACATCAAAAATCATGTCCATATACATCTGAACATAATGGTTTAGCTGAGAGAAAATATAAATATCTTGTGGAAACTACCATTACATTGCTTCAAAATGCCAACTTACCTTATAAGTTTTGGACCTATGTATGTCAAACTGCCATTTACCTGATAAATAAGATGTCATCTTCTATCATTCAAAACAAATCACCTTTTGAAAGTTTGTATTGCAAAATTCCTAATATTCAACACCTTAAGAGTGTTTGGATGTGCTTGTTACCCATTGTTAAAGCTTTATAATACCACCAAACTACAACCTAAGACTTTGAAGTGTGTATTTTTGGGGTATGCATCTAACTATAAGGGATACATCAGTTAGGAGTTAAATAATAAGAAGGTCTTTATATCCAAACATGTGATATTTGATGAATTAGACTTTTCATATGCCTTTTTTTGCACCAAGTCTCAGCTGAAGTCCAATGTTCCTACACCTAGCCCTTCTTTGATTCCTAACCTTTAGAACATTTTGGTATCTCTTAATACTATAAATTCTCTCACACCACAGGTTTCATCCTTAACATCACCACCACAAACCTTACCTGATTCACCCATATCCAGTACCTCACAATCCATTATTGCACCAGATTCTTCTGTGACTGTGTAATCTGATTTTTATCCTAAAAGTTCGCAAGTGGTCTTCAGTTTACCACCTATGAACATTCATTCTATGCAAACTAGATCGAAGCATGGCATCTTTAAGAAGAAAGTTTTGTGTGCTTCAATTCATAATGATCAATTGGCTGATTTAACACAGATTAAGCCTTCATCTTATAAGTCTGCTATGAAGATTCCAGTATGGTTTGAAGCTATGAAAGAATAACTTGAGGCTTTTTATTCTCAAAAAACTTGGACTCTGGTTCCTTTACCATTTTAGAAGAATTTAGTAGGTTGTAAGTGGATTTTCAAGATTAAACATAATGATGATGGGACAATTGCAAAGCACAAGGCTAGGTTAGTAGCAAAGAGGTTTAGTTAGGAGCAAGGACTAGATTATGAAGAGACACTCAGCCCTGTAGTAAAACCAACAACGGTGAGGTTAATTATGGCACTTGCAGCATAGTTTAATTGGCCATTGAGGCAGCTGGATGTTAAGAATGCATTCTTACATGGCATACTACATGAAGAGGTGTACATGTCCCAACCACCAGGTTTTGTAGATGATCAATTTCCTTCCTTGGTATGCAAGTTACAGAAATCACTTTATGGTTTAAAACAAGCTCCCAGAGCTTGGAATGACAGGTTTACTCAGTTTTTGCCTAAATTGGGTTTCATCAACACATATTATGATAGTTTTCTATTTGTGAAGCATGTTAGAAGTACAATTGTTGTGTTGTTACTGTATGTTGATGATATTATCATCACTAGGAGTGCTACAGATGCAATTCAACATGACACGCCCCGACCCTAATATTCCCCAAATACCAGGATAGACACGTGCTGGCCGACACCGAGGGTGACGAAAGCCATTAATTGATACAAAAGCTAAGAATAAGAAATAAATAAGGGTTATGAATTTAAAATACAATGAATTAATAATTTAGGAACGTGTTCAAAGCATACAACTAACTAGAGTTCTAAAAGAATTAATGTATAAGTTAATAAATAAAAGGATGTGGGTCCTACACCAAGAGGACTCGAATATGCCAATGCGAAAGCGTTGACGTCGGGATCGTAAGCCTCAATTCTAAATCCTGAAAGGGGGCGCAAAACAAGGGTAAGTGGACCAGGTTTATATATATATATATATATATATATATATATATATATATATATATATATATATAATACGAAAACAGTTATGAACATACTAACCCCCAAGTTTATATATAATGAAAACTAGTAGCATAAATAAGTGATAAGTTTTCTGAAACTCTAGCATGCCATAAAACATCTCAACAGGTATAACGCGGAAAAACATCATAAAATCATCACATGTATCATCTCGTATATTGTCTCGTAAGAGCGGTGTACTGCTAGTAAGATCACTGAATTAAATATATTCTCTTGGCCCTATGCCAGTACTGTGGTCTCTGCGCCCCGGCCCAATGCCTGCTCTGTGTCTCTCAGCCCGTAGCTAGGGATTATTTCTTCCGACCTATCTGCCAACACCAGATCCTCGCCCCAGACGGCATAGTGTCCACTAGGTATGCACAAATAGTTACGCCTCTCATAAATAACCACTTCATAGTATAAAGTCATCCATCGTCTTTACTATAAAGAGGGGTTTCTAAAACATGTTCTAGCATCCTATCGTCATCCATCAAATAATCTACCAGTTCATGGTTTTTATAGAAAAAAATACGATATATTAAAATATAGTTCAAAATAGGCCAACAATTAATTACTCACTAAAAACACGAGACGAAAATCAACATATTCAATAAACTTGCTTAATATAAAATCAAATCATAAACTCGTAAGGCATGCTATTCATTTATGAAATTGAACTATAAAAATCATGTAATTTTAGAAGGGGTCTACTCACCGATGATCCAAGTGTAGTCCCTAATAGGTGCCTCCTCAATATCTGTATTTCTAATAATTTCACCTATAACAACAATATTTAATTTACTTAGCATTTTCTAGGACTTATCCCTGAAAATCACATACTTCGAATTGGTTATTTCCCAAGGGGTTTTCATCCCAAATCCAACCAAAATCACAAGGAGAGTAACAGAAAGTTACCTACATGTAAAACTGAACAAAACAAAGTTGATCCATCTCGAACTTAAAAGAACTTGGCCGGAAAACCTCACCAATTTCTGGAAACGAAAACCAGAACCTACATCACTTTAATTCCTTCGAATTAGACCTCAAAAGTCTCATAAGAAGTCTAGAATTTCACCTCAGTTTTAAAGTTGGTCACTGGTGGGTTGTTTTCACCTTAGGCACGCCAGAAAGTGACCAAATACGGTCGTTGGATTCTGGAGAGAATCTGACAGTGAAGAAACAAGGGTTTTAGCCCTTAAATTTGAAATCGAATTCGACATGCAAGGTATGAAGACAATACCTGGGGTCAAATAGAAGTCAACTCAAGTTCGTAGAACCTCGAATTCATCAAGTTTCAACTTAAATATCATGGTCACTCACATTAGAAGACTGGGAAACGAAATAAAAGATCACAAAGGTTTAAATTCCTCGAATTCCGATTTGATTTTAAAATGCAAAGATTGAAGATTATACCTGAGGTTTAAGAGAGGTTAAATTGAGTTCACAGAGCCTCGAATTCATTGAGTTTAGACTTGGATTTTGCCAGAGATTGGCCGAAGAAAAATCACCGAATTTCTTTGCTGGAGATGAAAAGAAAGTAATTCTAGATTAGTAGGAAATGGACGAAAGAACCCACTTGAATTCGAAGAGGTGGCGTCCAAGCTGTCAGGTTTGAGGGTTGATTGTCATCCCAATTGTAAATTGTACATGCAAAAGCATAAATGAAATCCTCAGGCCTTATTGATTCTAATGATGGTGGCTTTGAGTAGAGACTTGGCCAAGATGAGTGATGATTGTGAGTGAAGGAGTCTAAAACTTAGAGAGAAAGAGTTGCAGAGTTTGTCGAGGGGAGAGAGTGTCTGAGGGTGTTGGGGAAAGGGAGCACAGGAAGAAGGAGACCAAAAATAAAGGGATGGGCCCCTTGGACTCACCAATTAGGAACTAAAAAAAAACATTTTTAAATAAAATAAGGGTGGGGTGTAACACAACAAGTTATTTCAGACTTGAGAACAAAATTTGACATTAAGGATCTTGGTCCGTTACATTTTTTCTTGGGAATTCAAATTGCAAGAACAAAGGATGGACTATTCTTATCTCAATAAAAATATATACAAGATCTTTTAAAGAAGACAGAAATGTTAGACTCTAAACCTGCTTCAACTCCTTATCTTCCTTACAATCGACTTCTCAAGGATGACAGGCAACCTTACAATAATCCTGGCTTATACAGGAGCATTGTTGGAGCATTGCAGTACCTTGTGTTTACAAGACCTAACATTGCCTTTTTTGTTCATCATGTTTGCCAATTTATGCAAACTCCAATGGTCTCTCAGTTTACAGCAATGAAGAGGATTTTACGATATCTCAAAGGCTTGATTTCTCATGGAATTACTTACACCAGAGGAGAATTGGTTTTAAAGTCCTTCAGTGATGCTGACTGGGCAAGTGATCCAAATGATCGAAGGTCCACTACTGGTTTGGTTGTATTCCTAGGAAATAATCCTATTTCTTGGTCCTTTAAGAAACAACAAATTGTGTCACGTTCTTCAATGGAGGCTGAATATAGAGCAATTTCATCTATTGCTGCAGAATTAGATTGGATCCAACAGCTACTCACTTTCCTTCATATTCAACCTTAACAAATTCCAATACTCTTTTGTGATAATCTATCAGCAATTGCTCTATCTTTTAATCCAGTTCAGCACCAACAGACTAAACACATTGAAGTGGATGTTCATTTTGTTCGAGAAAGAGTTGCTGCTAAAAAATTGCTTGTTCAGTTTGTCTCTTATTCTGAGCAATTTGCTAATATTCTAACAAAAGGCTTGAGTTCTCCTTTGTTTAACACTCACTGCTACAATCTCATGCTTGGCTCATCCAAACATGGGATTTAGGGGGGATGTTAGAATATAAATAATGAATGAAAAGGATTATGCCACTTGTCATTCATCAAGGAGATTGTGTATTGTTGTAGTCGATATAATGAATTGTATAAGATAAGATTGTAATAAAGTAGATAAGGTAGTTAGGCTAAGATCTTACAATATATAATGTAAGATTGTGTACTGTTGTAATTACAGAAAATCTAATACAAGATTCAGTAGCTTATTTTCCAAGCTCTCTCTCTTCTTTCTCAACTCTTCTCTAAATCTCTTAATTCTTCTCTACATATCTCTCCATTGAAGCTCTACAATATGCTTAACAAAAACTTCAAAGTAACGAGACTGTGAATAATTCAATTTTCCTCATCCCGCAAATTGCTGCAGATTCTCAGCCCGCAATTTGAAACTTTAAATTTGTTTTGAATCAGGAAAAGAAGAGGAAAAAAGTACCTTGAGTCGTTACCTGTGAGAGGAAGACAGGCTGGACTACAGAAAGAGAAAAGCTTGAGTCGCCGCCGTCGATCGATTCCTCTAAAACAACCTATCAACCCTATGCGTCATCTCGACAGAAGGGTGAGATCGATTTGATGATGTAGTCATCGATCTACTACTGATGCTGCTATTGATGTGTGAAGGACGAGATCTATGAGTTTGAAAGCAAAAAGGGCGAGATCAATAAAGCTCGCAAAGGATTAAAGGGGCGAACGAAGCTGGTCTTAGCAGTTTGGCTCTTTCTGGACAGTCTCGATAAGACCCTCTTGTGAAGGCTTTAGTGGAGGCGAGTCCCTCCTAGTCCCACTAATGCTAATCCCTACTGCTAACAAACACAGAATTAGACTAGATGTTAGTCCAGTCCAGTCCAGTGTGGGCTAAAAATGGCAAACAAACACACCCTCAATATGCTGGCTAAGCATACGTGTAGTGTAGGGTTTATAAGTCCAATAATATGTTGCCACATGGATTATACAAAAGATAAATTTTTTAAAAGTGTTTTAAAGGTTTAAAAATAATTGAAAGGAGGGTTAACTAGTTTTTATATCCTCCATGTTTAGGGTGATTTTCAAAATGGGCTACGAAGTTTCAATTATCTCATATTGCACCCAAAGATATTGAAATTGGATCTTTATGCTTCAGTTTGATTGATTGTATGATAATTTATTAAACTGACAATGTAGTAAGCTTGAGATTATTATATGGTTAACATGTAAGCCATATTTGCTTCACATTGACAAAACACTTATCAATTTAATGGATGATTTGACGTTCAAAGAGACAAGGTGTAAATCAATCCAATTTCAAAAGCTTAGGGTGCAAAGTGAGAAAATTAGAATTTTTGTTCCTTTTTATTTTGTTGTTATAGATTTTAAAATTTTAAATAATTAATTAATTTTTTTGTAATCCATGTGTCAGCATATTATTGGACTTATAGCCCCTGCATGCATACTAGTCAGCACATTAACTGAAAACTTGAAAGAATCTTAATGGAATGACCAAATTGATGTGTGGTTGTCAATTGTAATGACAATATTGATTCATTTTAACACTAAAGACCCGAATGAGGACTTTCGTAAATTTCAAGGACTATTTGTGATAAAATAAAATAAAATAAAATAAACCCTTTTTGATTGAAGGAAAGATAAAAGTTAACAAAAACGTATACATGTGCAATATACAATAAACCCTCTATATAGTCATGATGTTGGGACAAACAAATCTTATTATTATAAGATGTTCTTACTTAATAGAGGTATAGTTCAAAAATATTATTTTATGACTCAATTGTCTTTAATGACAGATACATATAACTACATTAGTAGTAGAACATGTCAAGATGTAACATTAGAAAAAGAGAGACACCTAATCTATAAAAGCACACCAAAAGTTTTAGGGAACTTTAACGAAAAGCTCCCGGTACTGTTCACTTTAACAAAAAACCACATTTTTACACTAAAAGTCAATCCTGGTACTATTCACTTTACCCTTTATTTTGTCCTTATCATTAAAACTCAAAGTTTTCAAGCCATTTTCATTAGTTTTCCTAATGCTTGCTCAAAAGTTGTAAACATCTTGAGAAGGTAGAAACATTTTGGCTTCAACAAGAATGTAACCACGTTGATGAGTATTACATGCCACAAGCTCAAAGATGTGACATCAAACTCTAAAAAAACAAATTATTGTTCTAAACAACTTTAGAGAGATATTTTATTCATCTTAAACTTCATTGGTGACATTGCATATTTTTAAGCTTCTTGACAATTATTACTATGTGGAGGCAAGTTTCCTTAAGACGAGACCCAAAAAATTATAACTTATTACAATGTGAAGTTTATTCCTGTAGGAGCCCAAAAATGTCATGCAAGGCTCAATAGGATTGAAGGCCCAAACGTCCTATACGGTACGTGTAATTTCGTGCTAAATCCTATTTATATTATATGCTAAGCAAGGTTTTATTTAATTATCATGTCACGCCAAGCACATTCTTTCAAACCCAACACTTACGAAGCTTATATGGACCTAACACCTGTGGTTTAATAGGGCTTGCTTGAGGGTTGAGGTGTGGAAGGGTACGGAGGTCCATAAGGCACATGGAAAACTCTTCAATATTGGAGACTTTGGCCTACTTGGCAGTATCAAAGTCCAAGCACAATTTAGAGTGATCCCATGCTAGGTAAGCAAATGAGATATTTCCCTGCACATTGTTTCAGTTGTGCACCGCCATTAGTCCAACTCCACAGTAACTTATCTTCCTAGAGTATTTCACCATTTTAGTGACCAAAGTATGTCACATTTTCCCTTACCAAAGTATTCCACCCTTTCCCTACACCAAAACCTGTCTTCCCGTGAACCAATCCCTGCACTAGACTGTTTCACCTTTTTAGCTCAATGGAAAAGTAAGCACAAATGAACCCTTAGCTTTCACCATTAGAGAAAGATTCTTAAGGATTTCCTACCAAAAATGTACTTAGCATCTTTGACCTTTACATCCTTTTATCTGTTGGAAATAAGCTATTTCTACTACCCCATTTTGTTCGTTGGGCATAAGGCAACTTTGGTTCTTTGTTTTACTCAGGGACAAGTTGTTTTCGGCACATCACTTTATTCAACAAAATTTAGGGATAACCATCACCTATTATAAATTGGAAGCCCATATTAGAGAGAGGGAGGACTAGTTCTATTACAAGTAGGAGAGACACACCATGCTTAGCTGTAAGCAAAGGGGAAAACGCATCTTCTCCCAGCTTCTGGAAATCTCTCTTGCATGCTGCAAGCTTCCTACATCAGCCACAAACCTAGCCCTAAGTTTTTCATTCTCCTCCCTCCAATGTTTCCCTTCATCTATAACAAAAAATACCAAATCTAGATACCAAACATATTCCAACAAATCCCTTCAACCTCATGCCTAGGGAAGAAAAGATTCACCTACTGAAAGAAACTCTTCTTCCTGCTGCAGAAACTCATTCTTGACTACTGCAAGCCTTCCAATAAGCCATAGACGCCAACTTTAAGCTTTCGTCTTTCACCCTTCATCTTCTACCTTAGAAGCCGTAATCAGCCACCGTGACTAGAAACTCAACCACTACAAGATCTTTTACGAATCATTCTCCTAAATCACAACCTAAATGCGCCAAAACGAATCACACCATCTCATTTTCTAAACTTGTGGGTCTTTAGCTCCCACACCTCAAGCTCTCATGCCTAGCCTATTTGTTTTAACTCCCAATGTTTGTCAGTTTAACAAATACTCCCTAAAGCCACCAGAACCAGTGGGTGAAAGCACTCCATCAGGGCCTAGGGAACACTCCATCAGCGCCTAGGGAAACACCACATCAGCGCCTAGGAAAAGCACCACATCAACGCCTAGGGAAAGCACTCCATCAGCGTCTAGGGAAAGCACTCTACCAGCACCGAGAGAAACACTCCATCAGCACCGAGGGAAGCATTCACAGTCATCAAAAAAGCTTCCATGGCTGTGGGAAAAGCTTCCATAGCCGCTAAGCACCCAGCAGCTGCTAGAAGATCAACAAAGCAGTCCCCAGGACTTGCTTTTCCTTCAGGATGGTTTGGGCCTAATCCTCAATAACTCAGTAGCGAAGGACATAAGGATTTTAACTTGTCTCTTTACAACACATGCCCATCAAAACCTTTGACCACCCAAACCACCACCCCCCCCCCATGTAATACCCTGAAAATTTTAAATATATGAATATGTGGAGAAAATCGAAAATAAATCGATTTATGATTATGAAGAATTAAAACGTGAATATTATTGAGCTTTTATATGATTTTTCAAGAATTTATAATAGTTTGTGTAAGTTTAGTTTAAATTAAACTAGTGACAAGGTTTAAAGTTTGGACCTTAATTAATTAAAATACGTAGATCTTTTGAGGTCAAAATTTATATTGAATAGAGCTCGACCTCACGAACGCGTAGGCGCAAACCATTTGTGAAACGGAGTTAGAACGAAGAAGTTATTAACGTTTAAAGTCGGGGATAAAATTGTAAATTTACCATTACTAGAATACTCTAGATTTTTGGAGCCAAATCTGGAAGGCCACGTGTGTGGCCCAGATTAAAAGTAAGAAAAGTTAGGCGGTGGAGATGGAAGATAAAGGAGAGAAAGGAGGGAGAGAGGAGCCAATCAGAAAAGGGGAGGATGAGATGTGACCAATGAGAGAAGAGAGAAAGAAGGGAAAGGAGAGAAGAAAATAGGAGGGGGGAAAATGGGTCTTTTGACCCGTGAGGCATAACCGGTGAGATTCATCCTCTTCCGGCCAAATTCCGAAGAAATTAATGTCCCCCACCACCTGAAAATTATCTCTAATCATCTCTTTTACCTATTCCACCACAAATTGGAGTTTAATTGGTCTTAGAATTGGGGAAAACACCTCACGGGTGCCGCGACCTTCTTCGCTCAAAATCCATCAAAATCTGAAACATTTTGGTTAAATTTAAACCACCACTAGACTCTCCATGAACCAAGAAACGAAGCCCATTCATTGGTTGGGGCATCGGAGTTGCTATGGAGTCGAATTGAGGACACCCAAATTCTAGGGTTCCAACGGGTTTTGATGAAATTGGAGCATTTCCAGGCAAAATTGGTCTTGGTTACAGGTATGAAAGTTTCTCTTCTCATTGAGATCTTCATTTCTATAATTTTTTAGAATTTTTAGGAATAGTTGAATTTTCCGGCGAGTCGGGTGGCGGGGACGGCGGCGCACGGCCAGGGAGCTGACATTTGCGTTGTTATATGAATTTCCTTATTTTAAGTAGGTTGTTTTTTATCTAATTGTTATGGTTTAAGTGGTGTATGTGGGATTAAATGAATAGTTTGTATTTGGTTCGAAACTTTGAACTTTTGAACTACGAAAGCTTGATCCCCGTTGAGGGTACGTGGGCAGTCTAATAAGACGTTAGATGCAGTCATAAAATATGTGAAGTTAAATTAATTCAAGAATAAAGGTTACATAATGGAAATTGGTCCCTACAAAGAAATGGTACTAAATTGGAATTTAATTTGGATGTTTTGGAAAAAATGAATAATGCTTATAAATTACTTGTGGGATGAAGGATTTGAATTGGAGTTGTTAGCTAAGGATAATAAACTAAATAAGATTTTTATTTTGAGCCTATCACTAATATTATTATTTCTCGAAGTAAAATAAATATTTTGGGACCGGGGCGTTACACCCCAACCACTATAGAGAGATTTTCCGTATTACTAACTGCAAGCTTTGGTTACCACTTCGAATGCTGCGTTGGTAACTTAGTGCCGATAGTGTAAAGCTGTCTAAATGGTGGATTACATAATCTTTAGCTCCTCAGTAACTGAAAACCAAGCTAAGTCTTCAAAGTAATGCAGGTACTGGATTGACGATACATGTACCCATAAATGTTCGATCACATCTCTTACATATGCAACTGAACATCCAGTTATCCAGTACATCAGACACTAAACCACTAAACTTCGTAATGAAATTTAAATAAAGGTGACGAACAACTAGAACAAAAAGCAAGCAAAACTCTTCTTTCAAAGCTCAATGCATCAAGCGTCTGACAGTCACATTTTGCAGCAGACAAAATCTTTGTAAAGGACATGCTACTCCCAGATTAACTAGACTTTGACGGGCTGAGCTCGAGGCCTCCAAAGTCCCAGCCTATACTTGTGAGTGTATTTCAAGATCAGCTTCCTCTGCAAAACAGAAACCAGCTATCAATTTTTTAAATCACGGTGGGAAGTAATGAAATCAACCACCAAATTCATCAGCATGCTTAAAGGATTCCTCGGATCCAAACCACCAATGAAAACAATACTGATACTAAAATTCCAAGAACTAACTAAAAACAGAGACTTCAATGTCTAGCTGGTGAGTCTCTAACCGTAAAATAAGTGGTAGACTCAAGATTGCTTACATGTTTGCAAGGGACGCCAAGTTTCTTCAGTCTGAGAGTACGAGTGACAAGCAGCTTTTGGAAATCGCCAATCTCAGAATCAAGCTTGGCCACATGAGATTCCACTCCATTGCCAATCCCATTCAAAAACTCTGGTATCCCAACTTTCACTGCATGAAAAACAACCACGAGAACCCAATTTTGATGTTTCCCCATTAAACTAAATCCACTTTACAATCTGAAACATGAAAATGGAGACCGCCCAATTTAGCCTACACAGCTACTTATAGGCTAATCTATGCACACATAATATTCACTTTTGATTCCCTTCATTATTCTTAATCTTATAGCATCAGAGAAGAGCAAAAAAGTAAAAAAAAAAAAAAAAAACATAACAGTAATAATAATCGCAAAGAAAAAGTACAGAGATGAACCCCAGTTCGATTTCCAGTAGTAGATAAAAGTTCCTCAGTAAATAGATAGTTACATACAAGAAACACTGAAGAACAAAACCCAATATTTGACTAACCATTGTTTAGATCCCCCAACTTTCTCGAAACCCAAACGAGTTAGGCAATGCAATCATAAGCAGCCTCATTAACCATTCCTTCTTCATTGACCAAGAAAATTTTTCATTTCTATCTATCAAAACCTAAATAAAGAGCATTACAAAAACCCTAAATTAATTTCCCATTTCTTTCTACTTCTTCACTGTTTTCAGATTCCATACTTTGTCCCATCCCACGTAGCTACCTAATCCCATCCAGCCCACCAAACAGGCCCTAAGGGCTTGTGCCTAGATTTGGAATGGATTAGCTAACGCCTAAAGTTTTGACATTCTGTGCATTTTCCTACCCTCTCGCCCTTCCTAGCCAAGTAACTTTATCCGTTAGCTGATGGGGTTTGCAATTTCACCATTCTAAGCACCAGTTACCAAAAATACGTTGTTGGACAATAAGTTGATAGCAATGTATCGAATTGTTAATTTAATTTTGTCATTGGAAGTTGCCCCCACTAAAAAAATGTTTCCGGCTTACCTAGATAAGGGTTTGATTTGGTGGAGAATCTGGCGAACCCGCCTGTGGAAAATGGTACCAACATTGATCTGGTGGGGAATAACATTTGCCTCCATGCCATCTTCTGTCAAATATTACTGTTCAAATCAATAGGTCAATTCGTGTTTGTATACAAATTTGTATGTAAATCAAGGCTATCAAACCTAAAACTTTGCAGACGGAGCAATTGGAAAGAGTGAATTGACTCGAACCCAATTTTCCCGAGAACAAGAGGCAAGAAAATTTAAGCGAATTACCTGATACCGGACGGAGGGGAGCCAAAGAAGTCGGTTGAGACTGAGAGCGAGCTGGAGACGACGGCTTACGGACTTACAGTAACACGAGCGTGAAAGCAGGTTGGGGGTTAATGGGCCTCAAGGTAAAATGACTAATTTACGACCCCGATCTCAGTTTTCAGTTTTTATTTTTTAAATTTTAGTTTACAAAAATTCAAAATTTAGACGGTAACTATTTTTAATTTTCAGATGAGCATTTATTTGTAGATGACATTTTATCGTAGTAATAGAAAGCAATTATATTTCTGTACTCTTCCAGTGTGAGTTTGTAGTTGTAACTTGTACCTAGGGATGGGCAATGGTTATGGCGGGCGGGTAACCACGATTATTTACCCATAACCATTTATGTTCATACCCGCATAACCGTTTACCCGTTGGGTAATTACATAAATGGTTATACCCATAACCATAACCGTTTATAAACGGTTATCCATACTCATAACCGTGTACCCATTTACCCATAACCATTTACCCATTTAACCATAATCATAACCATTTACCCATTTACCCATTTTTCGCCCGTTTATCCTTTTTTAACCCATTTACCCTCTCTTTTTTCGCCCGTCTACATTATTTTTTTAACAATTTGAAAATTACAAAAAAAAAATTTGTCATAATTTTTATTTTTTGACAATTAATAAATACATTTTAGCTACCCATTACATACAATCGGGACTGAGGAAGTTGGAAGTTCCAACTTGGTAAACGTGGGATAGAAAACTGAGACTGATTTAAAATACCAAACAGATGCTATTGATAAGATTGTACACAAAGGTTGATAATCTACAACCCCACAAATTAATTCTATCAAAAACAAGTTCAATAGAAAAACTGATGTCAAACAAAGGCCGATGATTTATAATCCCACGACTTAATTCCATTGAACAAACAAGTTTGATATCAGAACAAGTTCGATAAAAAAACTCATACTAAAATTTAAACAATACCAAGCAGAAGCAATCGATAAAAACCCAAACTTTTGTTTTATAAAATTGAAAAGACATAAACTTTTATCTGCAAATCATCCTTCAATCCATAATTCAGGTGTTCAAGAACAAGACATCAAAAACTACAATCAGCCAATTAAAAGAAACCAAAATAGGCATATGGGCATTCCAGAAACCATACAAATAACCCAACAAAATTAAAAATTAAAAGCATACCTAGAGTATGTTCAAGCTTGAACGAGCTTTTGGCCATGGCGGAATTCTCACTGCGATTAAGCGAGGTCGCCAAGGTGTGGTCGAGTCGAAGTCGAGAGGCACAGAGAGAGAGCGACGGAGAGAGAGGCCCAGAGAGAGCGACAAAGAGAGAGAGCGAGCGACGGGGAGAGGTGCAAAGAGAGAGCGACGGAGAGAGAGAGTGACGGAGAGAGAGAGCGACAGAAAGAGAGAGCGACGAAGAGAGAGAGCGTCAAAGAGAGAGAGTGACGAAGTCAGAGGCGGAGAAAGAAAGTGACGGATTTGTAACTCTGAGGGTTTTTACTTTTCTTTTTTTTTAATTTTATATATATTAAATTAAATGGGTAAATGGATACCCGTTATAACCATGAATATTATCCACAGCCGATGGATACCCGTTATAACCGCGGATAATACCCATAAACGTCCATTTAAATTTCATGAATAAACGGTTATACCCATAACCGTTTATTTGTTTAAATGGTTACCCATAACCATAACCATCAACTTTAAATGGGCGGGTAACCGTGGTTACCCATACCCATGGATATTTTGCCCATCCCTACTTCTACCTCACCGATTCCCTTCCCTTTTAACTAGGGATGCAAATTGGAATTATGTTTCAGTTTCAAAAGTACAATTTTCAGATCCAAACCAAAAATTTCAAATACGAATTTGAATATTTTCCGTAAAATTGAAATACCTTTTGAGATTTCGGGAATTCGAAATTTTCAATCCAAATTTTTTTAAGTGTTTCAAACTTATTACGATAAAAAAAGTATCAAAATATTATAATGTTTTATAGTTATTTACTTGAATAACTTTTTTATTTTATTGTATTTTTTAATACATTTTGTTCATTATTTTAATAGTAAACATACACTTAAATAAATTATATAATTGAAGAGATAAGCTATACAATACGAAATTTGTTTTTTTTTTTTTTTTGAAATAGTAATTGTCCAAGTGCATCTCCACATCTTCACTTCTAAACTGAATAGCTTAGACAATTCGTATTAAAATATTATTTTTTCAAAAAGATTAAAAATAATTTTATTTTTAATTTCGGATGATAATAAAATATTAGTTGAAAGTATTTGAAAATTTTGAAATGTGGTGTAAGGTGGAAGAACATGGTTAGGTATTTACAGAAAAAATTATAAATTATTTATATTTTTATTGTATTCTTAATTATTTTTATATCTCTTTATAATTTTTTGTATTTGATTAATTTTTTATAATTTTTTGTAATTTTGTAATTTTTTTTACGTGACTTTAGCATTGCATCATAGAATCCAAGCGTTGGGCCTGTTGATTTCTGCCTGAGGGAGAAACTAGGCTCCCCCGGAGCCCAGTGGAGTTGGATACCATGGAGCCCTTTTTATTGAGGGGAGGAGATTGGATCACGGTGGAAGTGCTCTAAAGGGGAAGGGGTTTGCAGAGCCTTACAATGAGTTAGCAATAATATAGTTCAAATTCGCTTTGGCAAAAACCAAACCTAAGACCTCTCACTTAAGAATACCACTAGACGACATTGCTAGGTGGCCACTACGAAATTAGTTGAATTTATACACATGCATATGTAACCAAATATTAAGAAAGAATAATAAATTGCATATACGAAAAAGTTAGAGAATATTAAAAAAACTTATAAAATATATGAATATCTTAATTATGTTCATAAATTTTAAAGATTACTCCAATTCCAAAATTTTAGAACAAAAATTGGAAACATTGATTATGATCCGATCCTTCCGAAAAATATCTAAACTCCTAACAACTAACTATTTGACCTACTAACTACTTTCTTGCTTTGTCCACGAGAACGGCTTGGAATGATACCATTAACCCATGAAGTGAAAGCATATTGTCACATCCTGGTCCGAGCCCCCATCACATCCCAAGCTCGACTCCACCATAGCACGATATTGTTCTCTTTGGGGCCCGACCACGAAAACTTCCTAGTGGGTCACCCATCATGGGATTGCTCTCGCGCGAACTCGCTTAATTTCGGAGTTCCAATGGAACCTGAAGCAGTGAGCTCCCAAAAGGCCTCGTGCTAGGAAGAGATGGGAATATACATATAAGGCTTACAGGATCCTCACCCCTGGGCGATGTGGGATGTTACAATCCACCCCCCTTAAGGGTCCGACGTCTTCGTCGACACACTTGCACCAAACGGCAAAGTGGCTCTGATACCAAATTATCACATCCCGACCCGAGCCCTCACCACATCTCGGGCTCGACTCCACCATAGCACGATATTGTCCACTTTGGGCCCTGACCATACTAGAATACCCTTGGACGCTGAGTTATATTGTGTGGTGGTGTGGTTTAAGCTTAGGTTTTGGACCAATCTAGTTTATTCCTAAGTTTTTGGAACTTAAAGTTAATTGTTTTTGTTGTTGTTTGGTAGCCTAAAGCTGGACCACACACGCACGCACACCCGTTCACCCCCTCTCTCTCTCCTTCCCTCTTGAGTTCTTCCATTTCCGTACAACCGTACGGTTAAGCTTTCATCCAACTCTTTTATGCACGGATCGAGGTTGTGGATGTTGTTTTCGTGTTCCTTGCAAGCTTAAGAGCATAGCCATACCCTTAGTTTGGAGGTTGGACCTCGAAAACCCTAGAAACTCGCGAGCCCCTGCAAAGTGCCATGTAGCTCCGACGTGATCGCGAAGGTTTTAACCAGTTTAGGGACTTGAAAAGGTATTTTTCTAACTTCTCTAGTACCTGGGAACCATTTTGGAGTAATTTTAACGTTAGAACGTTTGGGTTTATATAGTTGCAGGGTTTGGCCAGTTTCCTCAAATTTTTCCAACGAGATTCCGTTGGTTTTAGGACCTTAAAGTGGTAAAAATGTGTTCTTCTCATCCTAAGCTTCATTTTGGTATAAAATTCATGAATTTTGGATGAGAAATGAAGAAATGAAGCTTTAAAGTTTTTCCAGTTTCCAGTGACACAAACGGCGGCCGGGGGCAGCTCCGGCGAGGATCACTGGAGAAGACGAAGAATATTCTGTCATAGTTAACGGAATATTCCTGACGGCGTAAAGTAACGCCGTAAGCTTCTATTAATATTTAACAAAATATTCCATGGAATATTCCTGACGGCATCAGGCTAGCTGACGGCACTGGCCTGCGTGTGGGGGCACATCTGACCATGCCATTGCCAACGCGTGAGGGCGCATGGGGACCGAGAAATTTTTTATAAAAATATAGGGTTGTTCGTGGGGTTGAGTAGATCACGTTGGTATATTCAAACACCCTAATTGAGCAATGTATGATAAGTTATTACCTAATTTTGGTTATGTGCTTTAAAATAACGTTTATAGTTGTTTCGCATATAGGTGAGACCTATCCAGAGGACGAGCGTAATGAAGCGAGACTCAGGGGCTACGACCCTTCCACATATCAATGAGTGGGCTTTTGGTTTTCAGTATATACTTATATACTTGGTATTTTTCCCAGAAAATGTGTTTAAATGAAATTATATTTTGAAATGCCATGCCTATTGATTTATGCTTAGACTATGAATTAGTATAGTATGCATAAATGTGATTTGATGTTGTGGACGCTCAGGTAAGTACCAGGTGAGTTGTAGATTGTTATTATGAATTGATGATTATGTGAGATGTGTTGAGAACTCATAAACCTGCACCCCGGTGTTAGTGCTCCCGCCCATGGTTAGGGCATAGTCCTTCACGTGATGTTCACCTCCCGCACCATACACTCTAGGGCTGGGCACGGGCCGGGCCGAGCCGGGCCGAACCTAAGTTTGTAGGAACCTGACATTACCCGAAACGGGCCGGACCGGGGCGGGGATTGGATTTTCTTGTATAGGAACCGGACATTACCCGGCCCGGTTAAAACGGGCCGGTTCGGGCCGGGTCCACGGGTACCCTTTTTTTTTTTTTTAACTGCACTGCACAGTTTGCAAACTGCACAGATTGCAATTTGCAACTGCACAATCACAGTGACACTGCATTTATGCAGATTTTGCACAAATTCACCATTATTCTAATCTAAATACAAAGTCTAATATCCAAGTTCATAAATTAAGTTTTAACAATACATCCAAAATAACAATATTACATCGTCCTCCAACATCTAAAAATGAAATCCACATACACAATATCCGAAAGTCCAAGACATCCAAATTCCAAAAATCAAATACTCCAAAACAACATAAACATGACATCCGCAATAAATTTCAAATTAAAACCACATCCAACGCCCAAGTTCCAACAACAATCCTCAATTCCTCATTGAATCTGTAAGCAAAAATAGAATATAAACATCATATTATCCTCATTGAACTTGAAAATTTATCATGTCATAACCATCTAAATTCAGTTTTTTCAAATTGTCTTCAGATACTCACTGTACAAAAGTGAACTTGACGCATAGTCATATTAGTCATGTCATTCGACTAGATACAAATGGAAACATGATCTATTAAATATAAATGCACAAAGATTTCATGACAAGTGAATTATGGTAGCAACCTCACATTCTTATTAACCACTATATATCACTGAAACAAAATCTGATCACACGTGCTGCATTGCAATCTCAAGTCCATTACAAACATGATAGACAAACAAAACTATACTCAATCGCGAGCAACTATGCACAAACTCCCATTAATTTCCCACAACTCCGACATTATTGATCAGTTGGACAGAATCCCAGCTACCCACATTACAACCGAATAGTCTTAAATCCAAATTATTGATTCGAACAGAATAACATAAACATAAATCACCACAAAATTTCATCACTGAAATCCAAAAAAGTCATGAACATCACACAAAGTACAGATTTTCAACCTGAAAAACCACCTACTCAGAAACATTTCATCTCAAATAAATCAAACCCATCTCAAATTTTCCACCTATCAGTTAGATGAATCCCAAGAGCCATGCAAACACAGCAAGCACAAAAATCCCAGAAAAAAAAATACCCACAAACAGATGCACTGCAATCGCATCCAAACATCAAAAGAAAAAGGAAATTTACGGGCATACTAAAATGGCAATATACAAGAAAGTGAGGAACTTTATATAACAAACACGTACCCTTTGATAAAAAAGCATATAATTCGAGAACCCATTTGGATTCATCAACCCATCAATGGCGGCGGAGGGCTTCGATTTCTCGTAACGCCGACTGGTAGCCGCGGACCTCACGGTAAGGTTGACGGAGATTCGGAGGGCTATGTACACGTCGGAGTAGGATCTGGACCCGAAGCTCTTCTCAGGCCCACCTCCCGGTACCCTAGCTCATCGACGGCGAAGCCTCAGTGTAAACCCTAGATCGAGGTCTGATGATGATGGTGGCGGCGATAAAGGAGATTCAAGGAGATTTTGCATGTTGGAAGGTTGAAGGAGATTCAAGGAGGAGAGATCGAGGGAGGAGAGATCGAGAGAATGGAAAGTTGAGGAAGTGAGTCTGAGAATGAGAGTCTTGGGAGTCTCAGACAAGAATAAGAGAGAGAGAGAGAGAGAGAGAGGGTGAAATCAATGGTAGGAAATCAACGTAGGAAATCAAGGTAGGAATCAACGGTCCGGGCCGGGGGCCCGTATTTTCCCATTTCTGTACCCGCCCCGCCCCGTTATTTACCTGTACCCGGCCCGCCGCCGCCGCCCCTTTTGAATTTACAATATCTGTACCCGCCCCGTACCCGCCCCTTACCCGCATTACCCGCCCCTACCCGCGGGTCCAGGACCCGTTTGCCCAGCCCTAATACACTCACCTTGGATCCAAGTTAGGTGCACAGTCCTGTCGTACAGACCACTATAGGTGGTTCCGACTCGTAGGTGACCCACGATTATTCGCACCGTCTTCACGTGATCCTAGCACTAAAGCGTATTTATTCACACCCAATCCTGTTGTACATACCACTTTAGGTGGTTCTGACTCGTGTGCAAACATACTTGTTGAGCTATAGATTCAGTCGTACATGCCACTTTAGGTGGATACGGCTGATATGTTATTTCTCATGAGTTAATTCACCTGAGTTACTTATTCAGTTATTCTGAGATATTTGACATGGCATATTTTTTAATATTACTATTCTGAGCATGGTTTTGACATATGTATATATTATATTTTCTGAGAAATTATACAGGTTTTACGGCGAAGAGTTACTATCTTTAATGTTGAAATGGTTTTGGAAAGCTTTGTTTTTGCTCACTCACACTTTCTGTTTTGCACCCCTCCAGGTTTTAGGTAAGAGTGCTTGTTGGTGGCTTACGAGGATTTGACGGAGGTTCTGACAGATTATCACCAATGTAGGATCACCTTTGGATGTTGTATAATTAGTATTCATCCTGCTAGACTACACTTAGGCTACTTATGCTCTGGTTGTGCAATCACACTTAATATCGCACTTGCACCTTATCTTATCTAGTGCTCTTATTGGTTTGGTTTTGGTTTATTCGCATTCCTTATATTAATTTTGCTTCTGCACTGTGCACATGGCTACGTCACCCTCACGTGACGGCCAGCATGCCTCGATCTAGGTCAGGGTGTGTCACATATTGTGAACCTGAGATTTTAGAAGGGGCATTTCAAGAATTGAAGAAGGTGAGGTTATCAAATTTAAACTAAAACTCAAAATTGAAGGTTAATTTTTGAAAACTCAAGAAATCAGTTTTATAGTTTTTAGTACTATGGTGGTATTTCTCTTCACTTGTAAGTGAGAGTTCTTAGGTTCGATTCTTACCAAAGGCGAATTTGAACCACCACATTATTGCAAGCCCATTATGAAGCTAAGTCCACCACATTCCCTTTATGATAGATAATATCGTTTGTTAAAAAAACAAAAAAACAAAAATCGATCACTTAGTATTACGGTTTAGTGGTATTCCTATTCTCGCCGAAGGCGGGTTCAAACCACGTTATTGCTAGCCCATTGTGAGCCTAAGTCTGCCCCTTCCGCTTTAGTGTAAATAATATCGTTTGTTCCAAAAAAAAAAAAATTCTTTTACCAAGAACGGTGTCGTTCTCTTTAAACATCTAAACTTTTCCCCTGTTCTTCCTCGCGAGGCCACCACCAGAACCAACTCTGCAACTGTACACTTTTGTTCTGAACTTTCTGATAGACCCCAACTTCTTCAATTGCCGAAATGCCCCTCCCGAAACATCATATTCACAAGCTACCTTCATTTCACTGGTCCCCCTCCGACGCCGCCCTCGCCGACAAGGCAATAACCTACCTCAAACGCCACCCTCAACACCTCACTTCTCTATCTTCCCATTTTACCCCAGAGGCAGCCTCCTGTGTCCTCCTCAAGTCCCAATTCGACCAAACCCTAACCCTAAATTTCCTCAACTGGGCTCGAAACCGCCAATTCCTCAACTTCCCATGCAAGTGCCTGGCGCTCCACATCCTCACCCGCTTCAAGCTCTACAAGTCCGCTCAATCCCTCGCGGAGGACGTTGCCCTCAACACCGTCGATGATGGGGGCAGTTTGGTCTTTCAGTGCCTCGCTGACTCCTTTCATAGCTGCAATTCGAGCTCGGCGGTCTTTGACTTGGTGGTGAAGTCTTACTCTCACTTGAATTTCATTGATAAAGCAATGAACATTCTTAGTTTAGCTAAAGTTCATGGATTTATGCCTGGTGTACTGTCGTATAATGCAATTTTAGATGCAATTATTAGGTCAAAAGGGTCGGTTAAATTTGCAGAGGAGGTGTTGAGTGAGATGAGTAGGAATGGGGTCTCTCCGAATGTGTATACTTACAATATTTTGATTAGGGGTTGTAGCGGGGCGGGGAATTTGGAAATGGGGTTGTATTTTTTCGGTGAAATGGAAAGAAATGGCTGTTTGCCGAATGTGGTTACTTATAATACATTGATTGATGCCTATTGCAAGTTGAAGAGGATTGATGATGCGTTTGAACTGTTCAGATCCATGGCGTTGAAGGGTTTGGAGCCAAATTTGATTTCTTATAATGTGGTAATCAATGGCTTGTGTCGAGAAGGCAGGATGAACGAGACAATTCAGGTCCTTGATGACATGAAAAGAAAAGGTTTTGTTCCTGATGAGGTGACTGGTAATACACTCATTAGTGGATATTGCAAGGCAGGCAATTTTCATCAAGCATTTGTTTTGCAAGAGGATATGCAGAGGAATGGCTTGTCTCCAAATGTTGTCACATATACAGCATTGATTAATGCCATGTGTAAGGCTAAGAATTTGAAACGAGCAATGGAGTTTTTTGATCAGATGCGTGTTAGAGGACTTCGTCCAAATGAGAGGACGTATACTACATTGATCGATGGCTTCTCTCAACAGGGGTTCTTAAATGAAGCTTACGGTGTTCTGAATGAAATGATTGGGAGTGGATTTTCACCTTCGATTGTAACTTACAATGCCCTTATCAATGGATACTGCTTATTAGGGAGGATGGAGGAGGCCATTGGAGTTATACAAGACATGATAGGCAAAGGTTTGTTCCCCGATGTAGTAAGTTATAGTACTATTATAACTGGGTATTGTCGGCATCAGGAATTGGAGAGCGCATTTCGAATGAAGCAGGAGATGGTGGAGAAGGGTGTATCACCTGATGCAGTTACCTATTCATCACTCATTCAAGGTGTCTGTCTGCAAAGAAGACTAGTTGAAGCTTGTGATCTGTTCCAAGAAATGTTAAGCATGGGTATGCGTCCTGATGAATTTACGTACACAACCTTGATCAATGCTTACTGTGTGGAAGGGGACTTAATCAAGGCCCTAGAGTTGAATAATGAAATGATACGAAAAGGTTTCTTACCTGATGTTGTTACATACAGTGTGCTTATTAACGGACTTAACAAACAAGCTCGGACAAGGGAAGCAAAGAGGCTTCTGCTCAAGTTGTTTTACGAGGAGTCTGTTCCCGATGATGTCACATATAATACGCTAATAGAGAACTGCACTAATAGTGAATTTAAGAGCGTGGTGGCCCTTGTAAAGGGATTCTGTATGAAGGGTTTGATGAAAGAAGCAGACCAAGTTTTTGAGACGATGATTAAGAGGAAATACAAGCCTAATGAGGCAGTTTATGATGTTATTATACATGGTCATTGTAGGGGTGGAAGTGTTCAGAAGGCATATAATCTATACAAGGAGATGTTGCATTTCGGTTTCATTCCTCACACTGTGACTGTTATTGCGTTGATTAAAGAACTTTTCACCGAGGGAATGAACAAGGAATTGAATCAAGTCATAGGGAACATGCTTAGAAGCTCTCAGGTTAGTGACGCTGAGCTTGCAAAACTACTTGTTGAAGTCAACCATAAAGAAGGAAATATGGATGCGGTATTTAATGTGCTTAGCGAAATGGCCAAAGATGGCCTCCTTCCAAATAGTGGAGTAGCAGCTTGTGCAGGGGGGTAAATAATGGCAAACATTCTCTTACTGAAAAGAACAAAAATGATGGCAAGCATTCAAGCTGATTGCAATCTTTTTGACTGACCAAGTGAATGAGGAAGGTGCATGCTGAAGTGAACTTTCGAGCTTATATATTGGTCAGTGATTGAGAACGGAATTGAATTCTATCACCTTTGTTAGAGTATTGTCGGACACAACATTAAGGGAACCTGCGGTGGCTTCTGCCAGTGAGGCCTATTCACCCAGGCCTTCAGCCACCTTTTTACGAAGATTCTTCAGTTATCACTATTCACTACATTTTGCTTCTTTTCAGAGATATGCTCAATGTAAGTAACATTTGTGACACACAGTATTGATTTATGTGTAGTTTGCATTTGGTTTCGAATGCTGTTTCTGGTGGACAGCATATTCGAACAGAAGTTTTGAAGCTTTCTGGAAATGCCATTTTGTTTTTAATCTGTACTCATGGATCAATTATGGGAGGCTCTCACTAGATCCTCTCACAACGTCTGGTAGCAGTTTCTTCTTGGTTAGGTATCCATGTCTGTCTTTCACTCAATGCATTCTGTAATGTGTGCTTCTGTTCAGCTGCAAGTGCACGCACAGACTATATAACCAAAGAATCTACCACGCGTGGTGTTGTTCTTGGTCAATTTATGACATTATCATCTTTCTTCCTCATGTTTACGTGCACTCACGATTTATTATAGAACTTTACGGTCTCGGTTAACAGAGTTTCAGCGGTTAGCATCAATTTCTTACTACTACTGAATCTTTCTATTGTAGGTGGACTCAATTTCATACAAAAGCACAAGCAAACAAGAAAGTAGTAAGTTTTCTCTTCGCTTTAAAGAAACTGAGCATTATGTTTCGCTGCTTGAGAGGCAAAGGATGTGGATTTCAAGCTGCATTTGATTGATTTGATGGATGCTATGCTCTTCTCGATGCGCCAAGGCTTATAACTTTAATGTTTTCATGGCAAAATTGCTCGTGCAACTATTTTGTTTGTTTGATGAAAAGAAATTGAAAGACGCATCAATTTTGTGATGAATTATGAGCTGATGCTGATTATCTTAAGTTCTCCCTGCTTGTATTCGTCTCTTAACATTTTGTCTTGGCAATGGCAGCTTTTGAATTTATGTTAATGGAAACACAACAACTTCCTTAAGATAAGGCGGAACATCAGGTGTCAGGTGGTAAATTGGTCTTTGCCACTTGTGACCTTCAACTTTCAAGGTTAACTACGATTTAAGGCACATCAGTTCAATTGTACGCAAATTAGTCTACTTTTTGCTTCAATATAAGCGAATTTTCCGTGGGGCTTCACAACCGCTACTCTTGAAATGCACCAAAGAATTACTGTCATCAATATGATAATTTCGACAGTAACATTGCAAGGTTACGACGCACAAGATTCTTCCCAAAGACTAGCTACAAGGATTTCCGTCGAAATCGGACATTTTACTCTGATCCCCTTCACCTTCAACGACTACTGCTAAACACACACATAAAATGCAGTACACCTAGTGGATTTCCACTCTTTCCACCAATCTTTTAACTTCACTACCAAGTCAGTCGGCCCCCAACAACTATCTCAGTCATCACATACTTAGCTTAATTCAAGTACTGCAGCCTAAAACCTAAAACGAACAACGAAGATAACATTCAAACAAACATCCTTACATAGAAAAATTAAAGGTTTGAGAAGCCACCCCTTTACCCTGAAAGGATGCGTGTCTTATCTCGACGAAAGCCTCTGATGCAAATCATCTGCCAATGCTTGCCTCAAGCTTTCCCCATAGTAGTAAGAATCCTTCTCGCTTTCAAGCACCCTGGGCGGCAGCCCACTCTCATCCGGGTCCTTCCAGAGCTCCGGTTCAGGCTCCCTCGCAATTTGGCACAAGTTATGCAACACGCAACACGCAACAATGGTCTGAGGCACATGATTAATACCCACATTGAGGTCCTGCAGAATCTTCCACCTCCCTTTAAGCAGCCCAATTGCCTCAACCACAGCAGACCTCCCCTTCATAAGCATTCCGTCAAACAGGTTCTGAGCAGGAGTCCCCATCCCATTCGGCGAAAAGGGTGTCAGCATAAAGGACATCAAGGGGTAGCACCAGTCCCCAACAATGTAAGGCCTCACATGATGACCCCTCACATTGATTATCTTCTCCCAAACATCGCCGGAAGTCAGCTTATTGTACAAAAGACTATCTCTGAAATGGGTGGCGTCGTCTGTGCCGCCAGGGGCTTTCACACACACATCCCAGAAGATTTTCTTGTGATCCGCCACGACCTCGAGCAAAACCGAAGGGTACCCATATCGGCATTTGTAGTTTCCGGGCAAATTGTGCTTATGGAGCTTGATTGGGCTGCCGTCAATGGCGCCACACATGTTGGGGAGCGACGTAAGCTCCTCGAAAGCCTGGGTGGTTTCGATTAGCCTGCGGCGGGAGATGGGAATCTTGATAAACTCAGGGTACAGCTTGGTGGCGAGGAGGCGGGTGACCATGTTGGTAATCTTGGAGACGAGGTATGGATCGAGGGAGTAGCGGGAGGCGAGGGTTTGGGCGGAGAAGCCGTGGGAGAGGCGGGAAAGGACCATGGCGACGGCGTAGTCAGAGGGGAGCGAGAGATTGGAGAGGGCGATGTGGGGTTTGAGCTTCTCGACGACGGTGGTGAAGACAGGGTAGGAGAGGCCGTAGAGGGACCGCCATTGGGCATCGCGGAGAGGGGCTTCTAGGGACCAGATGTGTTCGGTGGAGAGGGCTCGGAAGGCGGAGACGGAAAAGGCGGATGCGGCGGCGGTGTCGGCGGAGGCGGGGGGTGGGTTTTGGGATGAGGAGGAGGGTTTGGTGCGGGAAGTGGCGATGAAGGAGAGGACGGAGGCGATGGTGAAGAAGAGGAGAGGGGCGGCGGAGGAGGAGGCGAGGAGGGAGGTGGGGGTGGGGGAGGAGGAGGTGGTGGGGGAGGAAGATGCGGCGGCGGCGGTTGTGGGGGTGGTGGAGAGGAGGGAGGTTGTTGGGTCGATTGAGTTGTGGAGATGGAGGAGGTTTGAGAGCATCAGGAGAAACGTTTCATCCATTTTTTTTCGATTGAAGTGTTTTCTTCTCCAGTTGAGTTTTTCACAACCCTCTGAACTGGAAGAAATATCTGCACAGTTCCTCGAGTTTGGAGTTGGAAGGCGAAATTAAAACTTTTTTTTTTTTTTTTTTAGAACAACATTTTAATTTTGTTACCCAAAAAACATTTCAATTATAACTTTTTTACAAACGAAACGGTAACCTTAATGAGTTAAATTCAACTAAATTTGCCATTTTAATTTCTAACTTTAGTTAAAAAAATAGAGTAAATTATAGCTATGGTCCCTTAACTTTAACTCAATTGGAGCAATGGTCCATCAACTAAAAATTCATTATCATTGGTCCCTCAACTCATCAAAACGTACAGATATGATCCCTCAACTAAAAATTAATTACCATTGGTCCCTCAACTTTAATTCAACTGGATAAATTATCTCTTAACTTTAACACAATTGTAGCAATGGTTCTTTCAACATAACTCGTTTTGACAAAAAATTTGATGTAGTTGACAAAAATGACTATAATTACACATTTTGATAAGTTGAGGGACCCTAATTATATAAAAGGAAAACTAATAAAAATGGTTTGAAAACTTTGAGTTTTAATGATAATGACAAAATAAAAGGTAAATTGAATAGTATCATGATTGACTTTTTGTGTAAAAATGTGGTTTTTTGTTAAAGTGAACAGTACCGGGAGCTTTTCGTTAAAACTCCCTTATATATATGGTTATTCCAACATAACTTATTTTGACCAAAATTTTGATGAAATTGATGAAAATGACTATAGCTACACATTTTGATAAGTTGATGGACCAATAGTAATGGATTTTTAGTTGAGAGACCATTGCTCCAATTTGACTAAAGTTGAGGGACATTGCTACAATTTACTCAAAAAATATGCATGAATTGGGCTGAAAGGTTATAGGCAGAGGTTAAAAGGTCGGCTTCAATAGGTTAGAACAATATTTGGCTCTCTACGTATATGAAAGTAATTTATTTTTTATCATCATTGAAAGATCAGAAATTCGTTCGATTTTGTGACTATGTTATAAACTAAACTTTATAAAACGTAAGAGGAAAAGGTGTAAATGCACGTGTGAATAAGACGCTAGAATTTTATTTACATGTATGAATGTCTTTAACTGCTTAAGTTAAAAGTTCTTTAAGGGAAAGTATGACTATTTGCTTACATTTTTTTGTTGTTAAGATTAGGGGTGGACATAAAAACTGTAAAACTGTGAAACCGAATCAAACTGCGTCAAAATAAATTGTAAAAAACTGTGTTGACGGAAAAAAGTAAACTTAGGTTCAAAAACTGGACCGAACCGTTCATACTAGTTTCGGTTCTTATCTTGGCATAATCGTAAGATCTAGACCAAACTGTTTATTTATTTTTTAAATATCTAATTCACTTGGCCCATTTTATATATAAACCCAAATGAAATTTAATTAATCCAAGCCTAAAAGTCATAACTAAACCCTAATGTTTAAAGAAGAATTACACATAGGGTATACTTTTAATACTTAATTATATATTGAGACAACACTTTTTAAACATTTCAAAGAGAGACAAAAATTAATACATATGTAAAATGACATCATTAGTGTATTTTTTTTTTGTGTAAGTTATAAAAATACCCTTATATTTGAAAAGGTGGATTCGCATAAACCCTAGCTAGGTGAGTGAGTAGAGGAGGTGCATAATCAAAAAAGAGAGAGAGAAAAGATGATCCAATTCGAGAAGAACTGCAAGAAGAGAGGCGTCGGCGCCGGTCACAGTATAGGCAAGCACCGCAAACATTTTGGAGGTCACGAACGTTGAAGGCATGCACCACCACCGGATCTAGGGTGTTTCAATAAAGTCGGTATGACATATTTTCACAAGCTCCGCTACAAGTTTTACTGCCCCATCGTCAACGTTGACAAGCTCTGGTCGCTTCTCCCCCAAGAGGCTAAGGACAACGCGCTGCTCATTGATGGGACTCCGTACGACTTCTTTAAGGTCATGGGCAAGGGCATGTTGCCGCAACACCAACCCATTGTTGAGATCGCCATCGTCCTCTGCTACTTCCAGAGAGATAGAGTTGGAGATCGAAAAGACCAAGGAGGGGCAAGATGTGCCCGAATCGGTTCTGAATGGAGCAATGCAGGTTGGAAAGAAAGTAGCAATCTCCCATGACTCATGAATTCTCTTTGAACTTTTAGTTGGGATGGCTTTTCACCTCGAAAAGTGTGGCTTTATATCAATGAGGTAAAAAGTCATATGAGTTTTGTGTTTATTTTTTATCCACATTTTATGACTTTGTTAAATTTTGATGATTTTTTGAGATGGGTTTCTAATTGGTGGTGTAGGCAATGTCCGAGCTGATAAAGACTACAGTGGAGCCAATTCTGGAGCAGTACCTAATTGAAAGAAATTCATGAGAATAATGATAGGGTGGACGATGGAAATGCTTTAGAGTGCTCTATGTACGAGTAATTTAAAAGTGATATAGTATTATGTAATTATAGACATGTGATCTCAAACCTATGTAATTAGTTAGCTTTTTCATATATACTTGTAATTACATAATAACTAGTTAATTAATTATATCAAGTCCACCTTAATTTTTCACCTCAGAAGGGAAAGGCCTTGTGACCTTTGCAATGTTTGAGTTGTCTTTTTTCACAGAGGGTACTATTGCCAAAATAATCTCATGATAAGTATAAGAAGTATCGAAGAAATTCATGAGAACAAGGATAGGGTGGAGGATGGAAATACTAAAGAGTACTTTATGCATGGGAAAAAAGTTAGAGAAAAAGGTTCTCTCTTTTGAGAATTCTAGTTTATAGGGTTGTTTCATTTAATGATTGAGAAAAAGGTTATCTCTTTTGAATTTTTTGTACTTGTTTGCGAAGTCATCCTTTTGAAACGTGTATTTTTTTATCTTTAAGTTATGAGATACTTCGTGGTTATCTTCTAAATAAATAAATAAACTCTTAGCAAAAATGGTCGAGGATTAATTAAACTGATTATGCAAAAATGGTTGAGGACGACTTGAATTGATTTTGCAAAAATGGTCGAAGATAAGTCGAACTGATTCTGCAAAAATGGTCGAAAACTAATTGAACTGATTCTGCAAAAATGGTCGATGAAGGATTGAACTGATTCTACAAAAATGGTCGAAGATAGGTTGAACTAATTCTGCAAAAAAAAAATAGTCGATGATGGATTGAACGAATTATGCAAAAATGGTCAAAAACTGGATGAACTAATTCTACAAAAATGGTCGAAGACGGGTTAAACTGATTCTGCAAAAAATTGTCAAGGACGGGTTTAACTAATTCTACAAAAAATGGTCGATGATAGATTGAACTGAATCTGCAAAAATGGGTGAAAACGGGTTGAAATGGTCGACGACAGGTTGAACTGATTCTGCAAAATGGTCAATGACGGGTTGACCTGATTCTAGTAATAAATGATACAAACTGATTATGTAGAAATAGTCGAGGAGCTTATAACACATATTAATTTTGTGAGGGGTGGGTTTTATAAGCCTTCGGGGTATATATGGTATTTAAAAATATTGTTTCCATGTTTTGGGGTTGGGTTTTAGTTGTTTTTATGTTTTTGTCTCTTTGACATATCTAAACACTAGTGGAGTTCCGTGAAATATAGTGAAAGTGTTTGTGTCTATATATAAACTATATATAAACCTATGACAACCCGTCCCTAATTTTACGATTTTATTCATTTTAAAAGAGTGAATTGACGAATATGCCTTTAGAGGCGAGGATGTCGACTTTTGTTGACCGGCGTATTGTGAGATGTATGAAACATTCGTTTAGTGTATCCTCGTAGTGCTCGTCACTACGAACACGTAGGCGTAAGCGGAATCAAAATAGGAGCTACGATTAAAATTTTACGGAAACACGAACGTAAAGGGTGTTTTAGTAATTTCACGTTTGTAGAAGATATTTTTGTGTTTTTCTATTTTGGTCTTGTTTGGTGAACCAGTGGGGCCCACACCCCACTCTCCTCCCTCACTCTCGTGTCTCCTTTCAGTTTCTCTTTAACTCTATCATCTTTCATCCCTCATCTCACATTTCAAACCTTCTCTTTCTACACTCTCTATGTAACACAAAACAGCTGAGCCCCATCGCCATCTGCCATCTCCAATGAGCCCCGACTGAACCACTCACTTGTTATAGGCCTCGTAGCAAACCATCAGTGGCCTTGATGTTCCCTCTATTCCTCTAACCCTCTTCTTTCCCTATGCAAATGTTGGACGACCAGGAGGCCGAGACCACCATCATGACTACTTTAACTAGCCACATTAACAGATTTCATCAACCTTCCAGACAAAGAACTAGGACTTCAAGCTGCAAACTTAAACCAGCCATGAAACCTGCACTGTACAATGGCTCTATCACTGTTCATTCCCTTTCCCAACCATGGTAAGCCTCGAGACCCTTAAATCATTCTTGTTTCGAAGCCCTTATAGTGTTGTTAATCTGCAAATGGTGATTGGATGACGACGTAATGCAGGAAGCAACTTAGGAAAAATTTCCCAAATTTCAGGAAAACTATGATCCGTTGCCATTTGGCCACTTTCAGACCATTTCTTTACCAACATTGGCCACGATTGGGCTTCCAATAGGTATAGTCTTGTTCCCTATGTTTCTAGCTTCACATTGGTTTTTGAATTATTGAATTTGGTTAAGAATTGAGCTCGATAGGAGCTCTAGGAGTCGAACCAAAAACCTATAAAACGCAGGCCTTCACGAGTAAGGCGAGTATCATCATACTCGTAGGCGCGTGAGGGAACCACCGCGGGTGGCGCGTGCAGTGCATGGCAGCCAATGTAGCCACCTTGTAACAATGTGTGGTGGCGTATGCGGCGGCGCGTGGAAGAGCCTAAGGTCTCTTCTTAGGTTTCTCAACGTGCCGAACCCGAATCCACCCTTCGTTTTTTGAAATTTGATCGTTTTAAAATAGTTTCTTTATTAGTTGTACTTTGTACAAAAACGCGTTTACATAAATGGTTTCGTTTCTAAGCGAAACACATCGCAAGGACTCTCGATGCTATGAGGCGGGTTCGACTCAAGGACATGATCTGTGAGTGGGTCTTTTCTTTGATATATACATATATTTGTTTAGTTTCCTTATATATATATATATATATATTTAATAATGAAGTTTCTATATGACTGCCGTAAATAAATTAACCTTTATTGGAAATGACGTAGTGAAGAGAATTAGAAAATCATTATAAATCTTACAAGATGCCTTAATTTAGGTTTACGGCTAAGAATTATGTTATGTTGACTAGAATTATCGAATTACTATGGCATGATTATATTTATGTTATATATTCATCATTTGCTGAACTGGTGCTAGTACTTTCCCAGGCTCGGGCTAGTCTTTCATGTGTATGTGCATCGCATCGTACGCTCACTTTGGATCCATTATAGGTGCCAATCCTGTCCTAGATTGTTATAGGCAATTAGGACTTGTATGTGCTATGCATAGCATCGGTATTCACGTGATTGTAGTACTAGAACGTTTATCATTGTTACTCCCAATCCTATTCATGTTAGAATATTTATACATGAACTCGAGTGTCAGCACGTGTCAATGAGCACTCAACATGATATGTTTACTTATGCGAGATTATGTGATTATGGACATCATGCGCTTATTTACAAGATATTGTGCCGTAATGAATTCTTGAGATATTGCAGGCTGCGGTAAGTATTTTCTTACTATACGTAGTACATATATTTTGGAAACTATACTTGTTTTACGGCGAGGGGTTATTATGTTTTCGAAAAGGTTTTTACAAAGCTTTATTTTTAGGCCCACTCACCCTTGTTTTTTGCCCTTCCAGGTTTTAGTAGCTGAGCTTTCTTATCAACGAGGATTCGTGACAAATCTTGGTATTGGAGATTACATTCAATAGTATAATTCTCAATCCATTCTACTGTACTTTACTTATGCTCTAACATCACGTGTGAAATGAGTTCATTACCGCTCACAAACGCACTCTTATACTTAGGAACTTTTAGGTTTACATTTACTTACATTTTCCACATCACTACACTTTATGGCTTCATCACCCTTTTGGTGTCGGCCAGCATAGCTCGATTCAGAGTTCAGGTAGACATTTTGGGTCGATGTGTGTCAGTTTGGTATCAGTGCATAAGTTTGGGCAGTGGAACCAGGCCCATCGAACCGTGCCCACCCTAGTTAAGATACTGATCAAGGTTTTATTCATTCATGACATGTTTACTTCTTGAAAATCAAATCTTCTACATCCAAAAAGGCATGTGGCCTCTTTAAAAGCGTGACACCTGTCCACTTTACATATATAATTCTTAAAGTTGAAAAAAAAATTCAACTCTGAGCCCTCTCGCCATTGTCCAAGACATTCAGAAAAGCCTCGTTCTACCGTCCTCCTCCTCCATCTCTCTGCCTCCATCTCCTCCATCTCATCCCCATACACATCTCTATCACACATACGATTTCAAAATTCTTCGATTGATTTCATCAATTTGAATCTCTACTACACAATTGTTTGCAAGGAGATGTTCAGAGCTACCTCAAGGCTCGCTACTTTATGCAATTCAAGTTGAGAACTGCAACGAAGCTTGAAGATTACTTGGATTCGGCTCTGCTTTCTCATGTCTCCGCTAAGCTTAGCCATGCGAATAAGGTTCCGGAGGCGGCGTCAAGGTCGCATACGAAGGAGGTCAGGGATTTTAAGTGAGATATTTGGTTCTATGGTTCAATGCTTGGACATGGAGACTGGGTAGAAAGAAATTTGTTATATCAGAAGAGGAAGAGAAGAATACTAGAGACAGGAGTCGGCGAGACTCGTTTTTTTTGTATTTTATTGTTGTGAGGCCACAAAGAAGTCAGAAGTCTTTTTAGATATAGATGATTTTGATCTTTTAAATTAGGTATAAAGAAAAGAAAATAGAAATTTTATTTGAATGCATATATCCTTTCTCTACATCCAACTTAAACTTTAAATGTTAAATATCTTTTTAATTCTATTGCATAATTACCATCAAGTACATGATGAAATTAACAACAAAACAAAATTTTATCAATAAATCCACATCCTGAAACTTTCTATGGGAATAATGCAGATGTTGCAAAAGATACAAAACTCTTTCTAGAGGAAGTAGAAGTATAAACAGCAGCCATGGGAGATGACAAAGTGCTGAGATCGTCCATCAGGAAATCTTTTAGAAGCACAAGCATCCGCTTGGTTGGGTTTTCGAAAATCCATTTGGAAATTTGAAACTTTATGAAAAAGACCAAATAAAGATGCATTGAAGCAATTGATTAAAAATTCAAAGAAAAATGAAAAAAAATAAATCGGAAAGCTCTGTTTATAAAGAGCTAAAAAATCAAAGAAATTTGAAACCATTTTCATTCTCAAAATGGTTCTTGAAGAAGAAAACCATTGAACTGTTAGATCTTCCAGCACTCAAAATGACACTAAGTTGTAAGAATTCAAAATTTTCAACAGATTACACCATGTTTCGTAAAAATCAGTGAGTGTTCTATATAAGAACCATGTAATAGTTTCACCACTTGAACCAAAAAACCCAAAGCCCGTGAGCTATCTCCAAAAAATCCATGTAATCGCTTCATTCGGCCTTCTAGTGCGCAATTCTTACGTTTGATTTCATCTTTGATAAGCCCTCTCCAAAAAACCAGAGTGTATGGTTCTTATAGTGTCACAATTTATTTTGGTGAAACAGAAATTGAAATATTATTGATTGGAAACCCTATAATAATATGATTGCAAGAACAATCTTGTTGCCCGGATTAATCATATGTCCACTTTTTTGTAGTCTAATTTGAAATGGACTTCTCTTTGCAGATTTTTGGTTTTTATTATTTAAATGGGTATATAAATAAATTTATAAATTGAATTGAGTTTGTGAAGATAGTTTAGATAATCTTAAAGAGATTAATAGTTTAATTAAAAGTAATATAGGGGTAAAGAGTAAATTAGCTGTAAAAAAGAGGTTACAAAAGTTTAAATAAACTTTTCCAAAAGAAAATTAAATAAGACCGACTCAACTAGTCGTCGGAGTTTAAACCCGCCAAACGGAAATCCCGTCTCAATCTGACAAATTTCAATACCTGCAACCTCCGTTCTTTGCCCTAACGGTCCGGTTTAGGGCTTTTCTCCCACCACCTTCACAACTCCCAATTCGTCGCCATGACTGAGGTATCCTCCTCCGCCTTCAACTTTTTTTTACTAATTTTGAAAAGCAGGTTTTCTTGATTTTTTTTCTTCCTAATTTTGATTGATTAATCGAAGAGCAATATTCATGAATAATAAGCAAAACCCGTTATGCGAGTAACAAGATTTACTTAGCTGCTTCGTGTTCTTGCCAATGTTAGAGTTATGGCTGCATTGGGACCCATTTGATGCTAATAGTTAGAAATCTGCGTTGCTAATTATGTGATCCCGTCACGTTTGTTCTGATTTGGGGATAAAAAGAATGCGATTTTGGCTCTGTTTAGATATCTATTGCAATTCAAAGGTTCCGAAAGGCAAGAACTTGTTTGATTTCCAGAAGCATAGTGATATACTGATGCCTAATGGTATAGTTTATTTAGTATGCTGCAAGAAAGCTTGTGTTCGAAATTCACTACTCGGAAGTCTGAAAAGAATAATCTTCTTCTTTTTAACATTTTGGGTGCGATTTGATTTGATTTTCAATAATTCACTTTCTGCTGCGCTGACTATGGCGTGTTTTGTGTATATTATCTTACCTTGTTAGTTTTTCTCCGTTTTCTTCTCTGTTTGCAGTATTGGGTTAGCCAGGGTAACAAATGGTGTGACTTCTGCAAAATCTACATATCGCACAATCCTTCCAGCATTAGAAATCATGAGCTTGGTCAACGACACAAGGATAATGTTGCTAAGAAGCTTGCTGATATGTGAAAAGAAAAAGCTGCAAAGGAGAAGGAATAAAAGGAAGCGGAGCGCGCCCTTCTGCAAATTGAAGCAGTGAGTATCAAAAGGTTTTTTGAAGTTATAAGTGGTTTTAATATATGTATGAATACATCTATTCGGATAATGGAGGTTCATTTTATAGTGGCAATTCTTTGGTGGTAGTGCTTCTCCTCTTTAATACTATGGTTCACTCCTATTCTTGTTCTCATCGATATTGCCATTTTGTTAGCAGTCCGAGAGTAGCTGTTATCAATTCAAAACTAATTATGTTTTCAAATACATTTGAATGGCAAACCAGAATTTGTGAAAAAGTGGAGCACAACTATTTCCTCCATTCCTTTGTCTTATGAATTATGATTTATTGTAAAACTTATAAATTTAGCTTTCTTGGAAGACAAATTCTTCTTTCTATGAGACACTGACCTGAGAAAATTTTCTTTATGTTGATTTTTTTTTGGTCAGCCGACCCCACTTAGTGGGAAAAGGCTTTGTTGTTGTTGTTGATTTTTTTTGGTCCTGAATGTTTACAGAAAGCTAAGCGCAGCGCAGCTATCAAAAGGATGTGGCAAACTTAAAGGAGGCTAAAGATTCTCATGTAGTTGAGGTTGATGATGATGATCTAGAGAGTAAGCCCTGTAAAAAAAATTTCCATGCTTGTTGCAAAGTTAGGGCTACACTATTCTTGCATGCTATGGAATAAGCCTGTATATTACACCTCAATCACTTTGAAAAACCCCGCTTCATTATTTTTGACAATCTGATGCATCTTTTTTCCTTTCTCTGTACTGGTATGGAATCAAAGGCCTAGTTTATTCTACTTGGCCATATGGTTTATAGTCCAAGAGTACCATGAATGTTGGAATAGGAGTATAGGACTGTTGAATAACTGAACTTCTTGCTTACAGCTCAACTCTTGAACAACTCACTATAAGAAGAACATTGTTTAGTTTTTTTTGTTTAGACAATACAACAATCGGGCTGCATGTAAAAAAATTATTTCTCAACCAGCGAAGCTTGAGAAACTACTCTGACGCAATTATGTTTAGACAATACAACAATCGGGCTGCATGTAAAAAATTTATTTCTCAACCAGTGAAGCTTGAGAAACTACTCTTGAGGCATTTTGCCGAAGAAAGCACTCTACAAGGGAGGAGAAAAGGAAAAAAAGGAAGGCACGGTTCCTTAAAGGCTAGTGATATTATATATATACATGTATATAAGTATATATGTGTGCGTGTGTGTATTTTATTTTCTACTTCGTTTCTTTTTCCTAACAAGTGGAAAACAAAATTTCACTGTTGGGTTAGGGATGTTGGCCAGGAGAGGAAGACATTAAGCTAGTAAGTTATGCAAATTGCCTAGAATGAACTAGACATTGTGTTGTTAGGTTGATCTCTTGCCACACTTGTCCGGTTTTATAGTAGACCAATAATTGTTGAACAGAAATGAGTATTTCAAAATTTAATAAGCATCTCTTTAGGGTGGTTCATGAATATTATTTGGTACTGAATGGGTCCTTTATTGCTATTTGACGAAGCATGCCTTATGCTTTGTTGATCAATAGTTCTTATTTACTTCTTATTTATTAAAACTGATTTAACTCTGATTGGTGACAGAATGGCAGTATAACAGCACATCAGGTTATTACTACAATCAAAGTAATGGTTTTTACTATGATACGAATGCGGGCTTCTACTATTCTGATTCTATAGGTATTGACTCACTGGACTTATATTCTCAATATTGTGTTAGCTTAACCATCCTTTTAGAATATGTGTTGTAGTTGATATATTTACTTGAAGAAACACAACAGGCAAGTGGGTGACACAGGAAGAGGCATATGCGAACCTGCAGTTCTTATCAAATGCTGGATATAAAAAAAACCATTTTGAAAAAGCCAGCGTCAACCTCAGGTGCAGGATCAGCTACAGAAAACAAAGGTGCTGATAAAGCTCAAAACGGGCCTCCACCTGGGCCAGTGGTTTCATCTTCATTAAATCCTAAGAGATCTGTTAAAGGTGCTCCTTCGTCTGTTGCTGTTGGAAAGAGAAAGAGAGATGAGAAGCCAAGGGCTATATCCGTCGAAGAAGCAGCTGCACTTAAAGCAAGGGAGGCTGCAAGAAAGAGAGTTCAAGAGAGAGAGAGAGAAACCATTGCTTGGCCTTTACCGGCCGCAACAGTTTGGCTGCTCTAGCAAGTTCATATCTTTAAGGACTTTCACTCAAAAGGTATGCTTTAAGTTTTCCTTTTCCTTTTCTTTTATTGAACCAGATCTTTCTCCCATCTTTTTCTTTTATCCCCTGCATGTTCTTATTTTTATGACGGAAGGCTGTCGAAATAGAGTTAATGTCTTCTAGTTATTTCATTATTTAGTTTCATCAGTATTTTTAAAGGTGTTTCTAGTGCAACCCTTAGTGGCCAAGTGTTTTTTTTATCAGCTCAACAAGCATATATGTTTTTGCATTGAACATTTTTTTCGAACTTTATATACGTAAATATACATAAATATAATATCATTAGGAGAACTCTTTTGGTCAATCATCATATATGAAACGTTAACTATGCCCCTATTACCTTACCAAATTAATAATAGGGTTATAAACAAAATAGTATTTTTTCCGTACATTTGATCTCCTCACTGGAATGTCTTGGAAGAGACGGGTATAGCATGGCTCACTGACCTTTTCAATAGGATTTTGAAAACGAAGAAGATGCCAAATGAGTGGCGAAAGAGCACTTTGGTGCCTATCTACAAGAATAAAGGTGACGTACAAAATTGCATGAACTATAAGGGTATTAAGCTAATGAGTCATACAATGAAGCTTTGGGAGAGAGTCATTGAGCATAGATTGAGGCAAGAGACACGGGTTTCGGACAACCAATTCGGATTCATGCCAGGGCGCTCAACCATGGAGGCAATCTATCTCTTACGAAGAAGATTGATGGAATGATATAGGGATGGGGAAAAGGATTTACACATGGTCTTTATAGATTTGGAAAAAGCGTAAGATAGGGTCCCAAGAGACATTCTTTGGAGGATTTTAGAGAAGAAAGGAGTACGAGTAGCATATATCCAAGCTATAAAGGATATGTATGAAGGAGCGAGGACTGCCGTAAGAACTCATGAAGGACAAACTGAAAGCTTCCCCATAACTATAGGGTTACATCAAGGCTCATCCTTAAGTCCTTACCTTTTTGCATTGGTAATGGATGAGTTAACATGACATATTCAAGATGATATTCTTGGGTGTATGCTTTTCGCAGACGATATAATGTTGATAGATGAAACTCAGGAAGGGGTAAATGCGAAGTTTAACCTTTGGAGAGAAGTGTTGGAATCTAAAGGTCTTTGCCTTAGCCGATCAAAGACAGAATATATGGAGTGCAAGTTCAGTGCAAATGGAGGCCAAAATGAGTTAGGGGTGAGGATCGGAGATCAGGAAATACCAAAGAGCGACCGCTTTCGCTACCTAGGATATATGCAAAAGAACGGAGAATTAGATGGAGACCTCAACCATAGAATACAAGTTGGATGGATGAAGTGGAAGAGTGCATCTGGCGTGTTGTGTGATCGTCGTATGCCACTAAAGCTCAAGAAATTTTTTATAGAACGGCAATAAGGCCGGCGATGCTGTATGGCATAGAATGTTGGGCAGTGAAGCATCAACACGTACATAAAATGGGTGTAGCGGAGATGAGGATGCTTCGTTGGATGTGTGGGCACACGAGAAAGGATAAGATTAGGAATGAGGATATTCGAGGTAAAGTAGGAGTAGCCGAAATTGAAGGAAAGATGAGAGAAAATTGGTTACAGTGGTTTGGACATGTGCAAAGAAGACCTACTGATGCTCTGGTTCAAAGATGTGACTACGGGACAGGTTCAGGGCCGAAGGGGTAGAGGAAGACCTAGGAAAACTTTGGAAGAAACCATAAGAAAAGACTTAGAGTACTTGGATCTAACGGAAGACATGACACAGAATCGAGCGCAATGGCGTTCTAGGATTCATATGGCCGACCCCACTTAATGGGAAAAGACTTTGTTGTTGTTGTTGTTTGTATTTGATCTCCTCACTGTCATCCAAGACACCAGTTTCTCCTCTTCCTCTGTAAATCCCCATCACATTGCATACCTGGCCTGCACGTGATTCTTCTAATGTTTAGCTTTGGAAAAGATTGGTCGCATATAATGCCTTACAGGTAATAAAATTGATTTTTTAGTTTGTTTGGTTTGAGTGCAAAAGTAACACCAATTATTTGGAACCTTAGGGGGTGTTTGTTTGACCTTCTTAGGTGGGACTGGACTAGACTAGACTAGACTAATTGCTAGTGTAGTCCCATGTTTGGTATGCACAAGGGTTAGGTTTATTGGGAAGATGGGACTCGCTCGGATTAAACCCTTCGGTAGGAGTTCTAAGCTAAGAACCCCAAATTCCCCCGGACTCGTAAGACCTCCTGCGAGAGAGAACCTCGCTCATCCTGCGAGAGAGAGAGTCGCACATCTTTAGCTCCTCGCCCTGCTCCTTCCTTGCCCTGCTCGCCCTCATCTGCTCCTCTTGTCAGGTAAACTTCGAATCTGAGATTTATTTCTTTGATTTGTTTTGCAGATCATGATTTTACTGGGCTTTGTTTGATTTAGTTGTTTTGGGTTCGAGAAATTTTTAATAATAGACCTCTGCACTTGAACAAATTAGGGTTTTGATTTTTAGGGTCAAATTGAGATTAGAATTTGGGCTTTTCAAATTTCAACTTTTTTGCATTTTTTCAAGTAGATACCTGATAAATGATCGGTATCCGGTCTCTATTTGAGGGCTCCACTCAACTTTTATCGAATTTTTTTTTTTTTTTTTTTGTCGTGATCAATACAAGTATTCTGATTGGTTCTCTATTGTTGTTTCAGTTTATTCAATTGGAGTTGCAGATTCAGAAAACAGAACTTGCTTTGTGAAAAGAAGGTTTCATTCTCATCTATTTCTTTTTTGAGTTTTCTTTTTACTAGTTTTCTTTTATTGCTGCACCCATATGCCTGCACGATACATGTATGCACTCACTCCTATATAAAAAATATTACAGACACAACTTGATGTCCCTTGAGTACAGACAAATGCTCCATCCATGCATGCTGAATAATCATATACTTGTTCTCTCTTGAAAACTTTAGGGTTAAAATGCATTTGAAAATGCAGGCAGGATGATGTAAAAGTTTAATGGGTGATTGGCAGTCTGATCAGGGTACAGAAAATGTTGGGATATTGATGTGCATTGTTTCCATGATTTTTTTTTCTCTAAAGCCCAGGAGATCCTGCCTAAGATCTCCCTGACCCAATGGAACATGGCCCATCTTGTTTAATCTGTACTTCTTTATCTCATTTGGAAGGATCCCATTTTTTTCTTTGTTATTATGTATTTTAAATACTATTGTTAATGTAATTTTGCACATTCCAAGCTTCTCTTCTATGAAGATGTATTTGGATTTTATGTCATGCACAATTACGTATCGTTCTTTGGCATTCATTATTCCATAAAATCTAATTCCTATTGAAATAAAAACTTTGTTTTCTATTCAAAAGGTTGAAAAGGGATAAGGATAAGATGGAACTTGGGAATTTAGGATGTCAAAGTTGTCAAAATTCCAAGTCCTACCCGCATGCTGTTTCGGATTTTTAAATTTAGGGTTTTAGTAATGATAGTATTGTTTTCATTGTCTTGCTTTTTAATCCGACACTGCATCAAACGCTTCACTAAGATAATCTAACTTAGTCTAGTCTAAGCCAGTCCAACTTAGTCATTGAAGCTAGTTCAGTCCAAGATAGTCGGAACAACAAACGCATCCTTATAGTTCTAATAACAAGGAATGCGAAAGAGCCCAGGTGTTATTACAATTGGATGTAGAAAGGGATGAGTCTCACAAACACTTGGGCTCGCAATTCATAATCCGAACTGCAGCTATTTTTCGGGTTTGAGGGGTACTGATATTGTTAGATTTGGAGCCTAGAGCCACTGATACACACGTTGGGGGTGTGGATTTTCTAGAAGAGTTGCGACTTTCGCACTCCCATTTGGTCTTTTTGCAGTCCTCCCCTTGCTTTATTTTTTTTATTCTCCTTTCGTTTACTCAATTACCGAAGAAGAAAATAAGAGGGAGGAGTGCGAATAAATAAAATGCGAGTATTAAAATCGCCGCCCTTTCTAAATAGTCAACTTCTCTTTTCTTTCGACCTCTTAATAAACGTGGAATGGTTGTTCTTCCAACTATTGTTTTAAGAAAGGCAGTCTAGTTGGACTTAAATTCATATATCTCATTATGCTGATGCGTGTCACTGGAATTATTTTGCAGAATTCACCAAGAATATTTTAATGCAACGATGCATATTTGCAACGGCTGCTAATATGACATCTCGGGTTAAATTTCAATTGCTAAGAGATTCTTGGTGGCATTGCCAATTGGGTGAGTAGCCGTGCCTTATATTTTAATCTGTACAATCCGTCGTGACCTTATTGATTGGAGGGTTATGCCATGAAAGATGTGAATTGTTAGGTTCTTCAAAATCATGGGGTCTCGGCCTTCTTCGATGTGCAACTGCTGAACAATTAGGGTGAAAGTAATCTCATAGCACTATTGCTTTAAATTTTGTTTCACCTCCCCCCAATATAGGTCCGATACAATTCTAGTAACGTTTTCAATGAGGAACGTTGCCCTGTTCATTGTCATAAGACCGTAGAATTTACGAGGTGAGATGGTGTGGAGGTGTATGTTATAAAACGATAGTTTTTGTTCCAGTGTTTGTATGAAATCTCGGATTTGGAACATTTGTTAGAGAGTATGGAAATTAGTATTGTAACTTCAAGCATGATAAATGGATGCCAAGTATGTTTACTAGATTTTATGCATTCAAGCTTGAATTTCGCTAAGCTCAGATTGGCTAACAGAATTTGAACTCAATTAAACCAGTTTCCCTTTAACTCAATGTTACTTGAGATAAAACTCAGGTATGATGGGTCGCAATTTCAAGTCCATAACCTAGACGATGAGTTTGAGATTTTTAATCAACGACGTAAGCGATTAATGTCTATTCTTTTATTGTCGTTATTATGAATGATGTAAGGTGGAGGTGTGAACCTAGACAATTCCTTTGGTTGAACATAGAATAGATCGTAGATCAAAATCAATTCACTGTCGATTCACCAACCACCTCTCACATCCGAAATACACCTACTTAAAATGTTAATAGTAAACTTGCTTAGGGAGGTGCATTGCACATATTTCTCAATCATATGCTTGCTTTACACAAACTCAGTGAATAGAAAACGAAGCAAAATTGTACGCAGTCATATTTTTTTATTATTAAAAGTGTCAAGTGTTAAATCCGAAACACAGTATATTGAAATGACTGCTTTATTTTAGTTATCTAGCAAGGGAATTCAACCCTTGTATATAAAACCAATATAAGAGGAGAATTTTAGTTAATTACAACAACCAGTTTGTCTCTTGCACGTGGTGTTTGTTATATATATATATATATATATATATATATATATGTATATATATATATATATATATATGTATATGTATATATTTCTGTGTCTAATCAGATCATTGACTTGGTCGACGTTGTGACTACTTGCAGAATGGTCTTAGATTTCGGCCAGAATACAAAGACTTTGGAGTCAAATGAGTTTGTTCTGAATTCAGAAATCGCTGTGCGGTCCATTGATACTGCACGTCTAATTGTTGGATTTTCTAACGACATGAGTGCTTCTTGTTCACACTGTGTCAGATCAAACGCTGGTTTGCATTCGCTCAAGAGGCCCTGCTCCGTTTTAACGTGTGTATACATAATTATATACAATTGGTGTTAATTATAATAATCTTTTTTTTTGTTCATTTTAGAACATCAACTTATCTTTATACAAGGACTCTTGTAAACGAAATCGTGATTGTATACAACCGGTTATAACTTAGACAAATTTTTCCTGTCTTAAGGCATCAACTTGTCTATACATAAGACTTTTACAGACAAAATCGTAATTATATACGACCAGTTACCGCTAGGTCAAATTTTTCCCATCCTAGGGCATCAACTTGTCTCTGCATAACTCTTACATACAGACAAAATCGACAGCAGCTGGGACTGTAAAACCAATCACATTGATCAGTTCAATCGCTCAACATTTTTCTCTGATATTTATTTCATTTCTAAGAAATACTTTTTGTCTTTTGTCTTTCCTTCATAAACCCCTATAAAAAAGTTTTCAAAAAAAATAAAAAACCCCTATAAAACTCTCCCATCAAATTTGAGTTATCTATATTTGTAAGTTAACATGACGTTTACTGGTATAATGGTCTTTTTCTTCACTAAGTATTAAATCCAAAAAACTTATATAAAAGTGGAGAATGGTTCAGTGTTAGTAAATTATAGAGTCATTATCAAGAACAGATAATAAGAGTTGTAGATAACGAAAACGTTAGTAGAATTAATTTAATAAAACAGTCTTATGATAAAATAGATAAAAAAAATAGAACAGATCCCCTACCTATTTCTGAAGCATTTGTTTGAGTTATTAAGTAATCATTGTCTAAAGGTAAGGATAGATTTGGTATATTCTTTATGTTTTTTTCTTTGATTCTTTTGATGAGGGCTCTATCTTCGTGTTTGAATTTGATATTTCCTGTATTACTAGGCGTCGTCTGGGGAGATGGTTGGGTTTTCGTTGTTAACTGAGCTCTCTTAACATATCAGAGGGTGGAGTGGTATGTTTAAGAGGAATATGAGTTTTTTGTAAATGAGGTCTTAGGTTCAATTCTCGTCAAATGCAAAGTTTTGAATCACATTATTGCTACTTTATTGTGAGGATTAGCCTATTCCTCCATCCCTTTAGTGTAGATAATATTAAAAGACCCTTGGGTGTTGAATGCTCATTTAATTAATTAATGGGAGTTTTAACAAAACACTCCCGGCACTGTTCATTTTTAACAAAAAATCACATTTTTACCTTTAACTGGCACTATTCACTATATCTTTAGAAAGAGTTTTTCATTAAAAATGAAGTTTTTTTGGACTTTTCGTTAATTTTCTTTTAATTATATTGATGCTAATAACTTTCTTGAGGAGGACTTTCCAGTCTCTTTCTTTCATGATGGTTGTTGTATCGTGTTACTGGCAAGAAAACCGCGTTGGTAATGGTCAGTTTGCTGGATTAGGGCTTTCCTCTTTCAACCCACAACGTATCTAGTTCAAACTCTCATCTCCATTTAATGTAAAATGAAAGTACATTGATCGTTTGTGATTAGAAAACTCCTCATAGGTCAGCAGCTTTTATGGTTAGAAATAGAGCAGAAATACTAAGAGATAAAGCTCGAATGGTTGACCAAAAAAAAAAAAGGAAAATTTAACAAAAAAACTCCCGATACTGTTCACTTTAACGAAAAACCACATTTTTACACTAAAAAATCAATCCTGATACTATTCACTTTACCTTTTATTTTGTCCTTATCGTTAAAACTCAAAGTTTTCAAACCCTTTTTATTAGTTTTCCTAAAAAAAAAAAAGCTCGAATGGTGACAAATTAATAAAGATTAAATGACAACACTTGGTCAGATGTTGGCTGATTGTTTTTGTAAATTCATGTTTAGCGTAATGTGAGGCATCTGTTCTTCCACACTTGAGTTTCACATGAAGTGGTATATAATATAAAATTATTAATTGACGTTATATGTATACATCACTTGTCACAACATGCAGTAGAAAACTCCTAGCCTATGTAGGTGGGAAGTCCTTAAACCCTAGCATATATATAGGTTATGAATCAAATTGTGCTTGGTACAAATTAATAAAACAGGCCAAAACTCAGACACAAGTATAAACTCATCAACTATCAACATTCTCTCAAAATCATCTTTTGTCCTGCATTTTCTTATTTTAGTATCTAAGAAACTTTGTCGACACCAAACCGTCCTACCCGGTCATATCTTTCCAGTGTTCGTCCTTGCAAGTTTCCGAAGGGATTTGTAAGTTAATGTTCAGACGTTGATCTATTTTCCTACGTTAACATATAACCATTGTTTTCAAGACCCTAGCTATTAAAAAGTTGAGTTTACATTTACTTCATAAATAGTAATAGAACCAATCTTAATTATCCATTAGTGAACCTTATTTTCGGGCATTTACTTGTTCACATTTGCATTTAGTTTTTTTTTTAAATAATAATAATAATAATATTATTATTATTATTTTAACACACCACCATAAAGATGTGGGTTTTACCTTATAATGGGCAAACAATAATGTGGTTTAAATTTATCTTTGACGAAAATCGAATCTAAAATTTCTCACTTATAAGTGAAAATAAATATTACTAGATCATAATAATAAGCGAAGTGTGTGAGAAGTATCTTTCTTTTTCTCTTCTTCATTCACAAAGTTACTTTTGACTCTTTTGAACCTTTTCAATATCTTACCCTTTATTACCAAATGCTTTTCAATCGAGCACAACACAAC